TGAACTTTGCACCAAAATTATAGTAAATTTATACACAAACATTAAATCAAAAGCCAGAATAACCACCTTTTGCTAATAGAGAGTCACATAGGTCCCTGAATTCTGGGATGTTGAGCCATTCTAATAGATGCGCTAGAACGCGGTTGAGGATCCATGGCGCGAACAACTCGATCGAGATTCCCACAGATGCTCGATTGGGTTTAAGTCAGGTGAGTTTGCTGGCTAGGGGAGGACGGTAAACTCATCCTGGTGCTCTTCGAACCACGCACGTAAAGCTGTATGGCACCTCGCATTGTCCTTGAAAGATGCCATCATGAAAAACAATGCGCATGTAGGGGTGAACATGGTCCGCAAGGACAGATGCGTACTTGTATTGATCCATTGTGCCTTCCACAATGATCAGTGAATAGAGAATGCCAGGAAAACATTCCCCAGACCATAATGCTCCCGCCTCCAACCGTTCCGGCAATGGTTGCAGGGTGGTTCCTTTCAGAGGTTTCACGCCTTATACGCCAACGTCCATCTGTCCGATGGAGCATAAAACGCAATTCATCCGAAAACGCAACCTGTCGCATCAGTGACGTCCAGCTGCTGTACTGGCGTGCAAATTCTAGCCTTCGCCGTCGATGAACAGCAGTCAGCATAGGTGCACGAACCATTCGGAGGCCCAGACGCAGCAATGTTCGCTGAATAGTACTTTGACACTTTTGTAGCCCCTTGGTTCATTTTGGTGGTAGTTGCTCAACGGTAGCCCGTCTATCTGCCCGAACGCATCCGCAACCGTCGTTCGCCTCTGTCATCTATGGCCCGTGGTGCACCACATTTGCCACGTCGCTGATTGACAGTCCCATTTTGCCATGCACGGTACACTTTTACCACGGCGGCACGCGAACAGTTCACAAACTAGCCGTTTCGGAAATGCTTACCCTTGGCCCGAAAGCCAATGATCATGCCCTTTTGGAAGCGGGTAAATCGCTTCGTTTCTGCATTGCCAACGATTGAAATGTTTTCCGAAGAACCCTTTATATACGCTCAACTGCACTGTTGCCACTTCTGTGATTGGTTAAACTTGACATGGAAAGTACGTGGTGGTAACATTAATGTGACTGGACTGTGTATGTAAATTTACATTGTAAGTACTAGAATGAATGTTGTACCATTTTATTAATATTTTACTTTTCAACAAGCATAAAGGAAAAAATAGAATTTTTTTTCTTTAATGTTCCTAGTATGTTACATCATAGTTAAAAATATGTCAAAGTCACGGCATTTCGATTGCCTTTTGTAAATGTTGGTTATAATGTAACTTAATAGATGCTTTATAAGTTGGTAAAGACTGTCCTGGATTAAAACTATCTTTAACACAAAAAATAATATACATTGAATACTTTTACAAATATGTAATTGCTATCCGACTATATAATCTTTTAAGGCGAACTTATCGCATGTATTAATGAAATGATATTCCATTTTTAATGTATGTTAAGTTATTTTGTCGAATTTTTTAAATATATTACATTTATTTTTTCTTTTTCGTTGAGATTAATAATAACATACATAGTGTAATAATGCTCTGAAAAATATTCTAAAGCAGTTCACGCTGGGATTAATGATAACATGTATGGAATAATAATGTTACATCTGTCAACAAAATGAAAAATATGAATATTCTAACGCGATATGTTTTAAAAGATACATAAATATTTAACATGAGAAATTATTAGACTATAGATAGAACATTAATATTAAGCTTATTTGTTTTTAAACTAACATATTAACAAATTTGTTTCTGTTTATAAATATGAGCAGTTTAACTGCAGACACCTGCAGATGTAACGAATAAAAGTTGTTATTTTACTAAATGGAACACAAGCTCTGTGATTTGAACTCTAACAATAATTCAACACAGGTTTATTTAGGAGCATTAGAATTATAAGCTAAACATTAAAAGAATTTAATTATAGATAGTGTAAAGAACATAACAAATACATTACATAAAATTAGTAAAATACACGTCAAACACTATTTCGAACTTACCTCGACCATAGCAAAAATAATGGCTAACATGGCGACTATCGTTGAACTCTCCCGCTAAGACGCTGTTTTTCCACCTTCTTCCTGATTGGTTCTTCTCTCTCAGCCGTTTTAAGCCACGTGATCACACGCTACGGACAAAATCCAAGCAAAACTTCTTGAAAAACTCCTGTAGAGTTTACAGTTTCGTTTGGTTTTGTGTTCGTTACAGGTATTTCCTTCGTAATTGTTCGCATTTCTGTAACTATACAAGACTTTTGTCTGTAAACTTCGAGGTTTTTTTTACAGTGTATGTGGGACTATTGTAAATGCGTAGTCCTTTTGCGATTTGCCCTTTGTTAAGTCCTTAGCAGCTGCATTCGTATGAAGTAGTAGTGTATAACAAACTATCATTCATATACGTCCATATATGGACTCGGACCTGTTGTTTAAATAGTATTAAAATTGTTTAAATAATATTAAAAGTGTTTAAATAATATTAAAATTGTTAAAATAATATTAGAATGATATTTTTGATTAAATAAACACAGAATTCTTATATCGGAATTATTTTTGGGTATTACTATGCAAAAATATATTATCAGTCCGTGCTAACCTTTTACACATGGGTAGCGAAGTGTTAAACTATAATATTACTTATCCTTAAAGTTGGCCACCTTTATAGAGTTTCATATGTCGTATGTAGGTTATGTACTCCTAATAATCAAAAAGAATTAATTTTTAGTAATTTACTTCTTAATAATATACGTATTACATTACATTTACTTTTGCGACGACATGTACACGTTTCTGTGATCAAAATACTGTTAGGAATTTTATACATATATAAACAAATTTAGTGAAATTATATGAGAAATCACAGTATTTATTTATTTATTTATTGTATAATGCAACATGAAAATCTAAAGTAGCAAAGCTTTGCCGGAAAGATAAGAATATAGGAGGTATAACAGTGAGTAAATGGCCATCGCGCTAAATTGGCGAGATATCGTCAAACTTGCTACGGTTTTGGCGACTAATTTTTGTCACCAAATTTCGCAAGAAATTGCAAAAAGTTGCCAAATTTGGCTACAATTCGGCGATATTTTTGTCGCTTCCTGTAATGGGTACTGTAATTGAAATTATAAAATAACTGTAACCCTATCCGGCTCTCATATGCCTTCCACTAATTCGGAGAAGTAGAGGTACTAGCGATTTCTCAGCTGCCGGGGAAAACTATATAATACCGGGAGAGCATAAGTTTCTCAATAGTTTTTATTTCAAAGCAGGATTCGGAATATTGAGATATCCGTGAGAGCTTCGCCTTTTAGAAGCGTTTTGCATTGCAATGCGTTTAACTTTTTTATTGGTTTGAAGTGTAACTGCTGATTGTACTCTGCGATACTATGAAGAGATGTACGAGTACTTTTGTGGAAAGTTCTAGAACTATGCAGTGTCACTTTTGATAAAATAAATTTTATCAAGCTATCATCGGTTCTCTGTGCATTCAATCTATTTCGAACCCGTAGGCACACAACAATATAGTAAAACAGTGAGGTTGGAGGCATCTTAAATATGATTATATATTTAATAACTATGTATTTAATGCTGAAATGTTTCATTTGATTTATTATGATTGAAAAAAAAAATCTTTGAAGATAAAATAACTATTCAAGTATCAGAAATAATATATTTGGGTACTTTTCCGTTTTGCCGGCGCAAGCGATAAAGTCGCCAATAATGGTACAACCGATGCAAACGGAATATTCTCACTGGTAACCTTTTATGCCACATTTTCAAAACAAGTCGCAGCTTTTTCTAATCAGATTGATTGTTTCTGTCAATACTGGCATACTATAATTACATAGAATTTTTATCAGATAGTTCAGTTTTATGTCTAAGGCCATTTTCGGTAATTAAGTCAATTAGGATGCAATCACAGCTCTTACCCGAAGCCGAAAATATAGAAAAGGTAAAGTCAAGCGTTAAATTCATCAATTCTAATGAGAATGCCTTAGCGAAGTAAAGCACTGCAGTTTTACATAATTTCTGAGTAAGCTATTCGTACGCATTGAAATATTTCTTGCATTTAAACTTGTGTTCCAAATTAAGATTTAACTTGAAATTAATGTAGATAATTACTGAGAGCATTAGATTTTTGTAGAGTAGTTTACGTGAGATGAGACTGCTTGGGGTCACGTGATATAAACCGGCGAATTAGGATGTTGAACCTTGAAAGCATAGTAAATTCTTAAATTAATGTCTTTTTACAAATTTATTGTCTTTATTTATTGGCTTTTTATAAAGATTTAAGCGATATTAAAATGTTTATGAAGAAATTAAAAGAATTCTTAGAACTAAATTTTTTAAAATATTTTTTATGTGTATACTGTATGTTGCCGCCAATAAAGTCTGCTTGGCGAGATTTGCGCCGGCGAAACGGAAAAGTACCTATATTTGGATTGGAAACTGTAAAGATGTTCTCCGTGTAAATATAAATAAAAATATTAACTGAAAAGAAGGATATTTAGGACATTATTGCGTTAAAAATAATGACGATACTTAAAAAATGTAATATTTAAAAAACATAACATTTGCTTACAATGCGCTTGACAGTATTAAAACAAACATTGAAATTATGTTCTTTTACACAAACGAAGTTTCGATATGAACTTAAGTTTCAAAATATTAATGACAATAGCGCGAAACTTAAAATGTCGCTGAGAAAAGATTTTTTATAAACGCTTTAATTCTAGCAAATAAATGCTTAATCAAAGAAATTTACTAAATCAGAGGCTATATCTAAAAATCTCTCTTTTGTTTGCAACTCGAGCTTATGTTCTGTGGTAAAAAATTTTTTTAAGACCCACTAATGGTTTTAACTTAAATTTCCTTGATTATTTTAGTCTTCCATTAATTTAAGTTTTGTTGTTTTCTAACTGTTGTATTATATACGTTTTTATACTGATTACAGTATTTTCCTATAGATGTCTTTATTAAATATAGAAGAACGGAAAAAGGATATGAATAAGAAGTACACAGTTAGGCAGCTTATGGATGAAGTAAATAAGGTATGATTCAATACACAATACATTTAGCTTCAAATTATGCTAATATGAGCAATCATAACAGTTACAATCTTCATAAATATTCATTGGTACTTAGCTTTGCAAAAATATAGCAGTTTCACATGGAGAAATTTATATCTCTGTAGTTAGATGATAAAGGAGCATTCATATATAGAAATTTAAATCGCTGAAATAATTATTGATAAAATACAAGCATTAGGTCAGTTATTCGTGCTGAATAAATTAATACTATAATAAAATATCAGCAGCATACAGCAGTCAAACTGAACGTTTGCAGTACCAGTTACACAAGCCTGCAAAATCGAAGTTCGAATACATTTTACGTCTAAATTTTACGTGTTTCGTAATTGGAACGTTTTAAGAAATTCTTTTAATTCCATTGTGTGATGATATAAAACGCTTTGAAAATTGTTTGCAACAAACTTTGTAAGGCATTTCTCCCACCTTCTTGGCGTGCCTTCGTGGTTTAATGGTCAGTACACTGAGCCGGTATTTCAGAGGTCCGTGGTTCGATTCCCGGCGAAAGCGATTGCTCATTTTTCATCTTGTCTGCTTTAAAAAATATACCTAATGTCTCTACAACTTTACTAGAATGCAGTCTTATCTCTCACGTTCAATCTGCAACTGGTGAATGTTTTCAAATCTCGCACATTATCAATTATATAGAAAATTTTCATTTCATGCAACAAAAGATATTTAATTTACTTTCAAATTAAAATCGCTTAATTTATAGGGAACTTTTAGAACAATATACGCAATTCTTTATAACTATTATAAATATATTTTTAATTATGTTTATTCTATGTGGTTAGTGTAATAAATGAGAGGTGCTCTCTTACATTACTGATATTTTAATCTTATTTAGACTTATTCAGAAGCAAAATATTTGAATAACATTTTCTGACATGTACACTAATCTTCTCGATTTGTTTCGCAAAATTTTCATGCATGTTATTTATATTATTACTATTTCCACCATCAATGCTACAACAAACAAACAAACAAAAAAAACAAAAAAAAAAATTAAGAGTAAAATTTTAGAAATAGCTATGATGGAATTTAAATGTGTATGTTTGTGATTATGGCAAAGCCTCGAGAGCTATCTGCCTAAAGGGAGGGATGCCTTAGTGGAGGACTTTCTAAGGAAAACTGGCTCGTATACACGTTACACATGGGGAAAACCAAGAAAACGCTCATGCAGCCAGCCCGTTCGCGGAATTCGAACCTCGGACCGAACTACCAGTGTTCAGCGACGTTACCGCTCAGCCACTAGGGGGCTCATGGAATTTAAATGAAAGAAAAGGAAATGTATTTTAAATGTTACACTTTAATTCTGGTTATCACTTCAGATTACTCATAAAGAATATTACCTAAAAAAGTAGCATAACATTTTGATTAACAACAATTCTATTATCTACATTTTTAGTTGCCTCTGAATATGTTTTATTGATTGGTCCAATGTGCAGAATAAATTCAAAATATCACATTCAGGTGGTTTCATACTGAACGGGATAAAACGAAAGCATATCTGTGAAACCGGTATTCCAGTTCTTGCCATACTCGTGTATCCTTTGTTAAAGATTGGAGCACTTCAGTTATTCGCTGCTTCAGTTACCGTTATCTGAGAAAATGGAGGCACGAATGCTTTGTCTTTAACAAGACCCCATAGGAAAAAATCACAAGGGTTTAGACCTGGTGATCTCTGTGGCTCTATGTGGTATTCCAGTCCCTACTACATTTACGTTAGAATATCTTTTGTTAAAGATTCGAGCACTTCAGCTATTCGCAGATTCATTTGCTATAAGTCCTGGGGAAATGGTGGTACAAACACTTTGTCTTTAACAAAATCCCACAGGAAATAATGACAAGAAAAAGGGGTTAGATTTGGGAATCTCCGTAGGCAACAAAGTAGTGGAATATTGTTAGACCCAGACGGCCAGTCTAGCGGTGGTGTAAACAATCGTTCAGGTACTGGCGTACGTTTTTATGCCAATGTGCTGGTGCACATTGTTGCAGAATGTAGCCAAGAGTCGCTTCCTCCAACTGAGGTAAGGTACGTTATTCATTCTAATAGCTCATCTTGGTAAATGCATCTGTTAATCGTTTTTACCACGAAGAAAAAGGAACTAAAATCACAGCTGTTGAAAATGGCACAGAAAACGTTTAACTTCAGGAAAACACGCTCATGTTTCATTACACGAAAGGGATTTTCCGAGTCCTTAAATCGTAAATTATGGTGATTAACTTGAAACCTGAAAAGGGACTTAACGTGGAAAGTGCCTTCATCCGTTAACACAGGTTTTTTGGCGAAACCATGTAACTTCAGCTTATCTTACAAATTCTCACAGGAAGCTTTATGCGACAATTTGTAGGAAGGTTTTATTGCCTACACCATCTGAAAGATATATGGTAGAATTGTAGACGTTTCCGTAACACACATCACACCGTTACATGCGATGAGGCACATTAAATTTAGAACTCGCAAGACGCTTTGATTTTCTGAGACTTCATAAAAACATTTCACAATTTTTTTCAACCACTTCGGTTTTTACTGCTGTTCATCCTGACCTGCTTTCCTTACACAAGTAACCCGTGTACTGAAACTGCTTCATCCACCGTTCGATGTTGTGAAGAAGTGGTAGGTTTTTAATGAATTTCGTGCGAAAATATCTATCAATGATGATAAACGGTCGTGTTTTGTTTCATTCCAAAATGCAGTACGCCTTTTTCTTGCATGGATGACGCCATTTTGATTAACAGTGCCTCTAGCAGTGATTCCACTATAGTGTACTAGAAGATATAGTGGAATTATCGGCGCTATTTTTCATAATCGAGTTTCGACATTCCGTTAGATGGCGCTGTGATCACATGTGCCCCATAAATCCGAGACGTTTACTGCAATTTCAATTATGTTTAAAGGTCTAAATTAACATATTTCACACGAAATTTTTCTCATCTTTTTTAAGAAATATATTTATTTAATTTCATGGCGCCTTTAAGAGGCCTACAGAAGTTTTTTTTTTTTTTTTTTTGCTTGCATATATTACAGAAATTATATATTTTTAATGCTCATCTTGTATGACCATTTTAAATTTGCCATTTCCTAAATTCTTTATAAATTGCACTATATAAAACTCAATACCTTCTACCTCTTATCAAGTAATATAGCAAATGAATTCACATGGAACAATGGACTCACACTTTCATTCAAAGATATTTACATGAATGCTAAAATTTATACATCATTTATTTATTTATTTTTGTATAAGTATGTTGATATGAAACTATGATATATCACTTAAAACTGAATGGGTCTATAAAAACCATAAAAATTTAGACAATTTTAATTCAAATTTGTGAACATTTAGAGCTCTACATTTTTACTACTCAGGTTTTCTTGCATTATCTTTTAATATTTACCTGGTTTTACTGATAGATAATGTCTGAATTAAGTACACAGAAATGTGAAACAATCTTTGATCCTTTTGAGGCCCACCAACATTAAGAGGTAAAATTCTTGGACACTGGTTAACCTGTAATCATTCCTAGCAAACAGGCTGGTTGCATGTGTATGTGATTTTGTATGGTTTCCCCCCAAACCTAATGTGAATCTCAGTCAGTTTCCCTTCAAAAGCCTTCTACAAAAGCAAATATAAAACATCCTCTTAAGCAGATAACTTTCATGTGCTTTGCCTAAATTAAACAAACAACCTAAATAATTTCTAAGTTATAACATAAATTATCATATCTCAGATGCTAATTAATTTAAAAGCAAAATAAGTAATGCTAATTTTTATTGTCGAACTGCATTTGAAATGCAGGCAACTTATATATAAATTAAATTTTACAACAAATGTGAAAGCGCTATCGTATGAATGAAATGAGAGTGAGAAAATGAAAATGCATATATAAAATCTATGTATTTGTTATAAAAAAATGTATTTTTACCTTAATTTCATGGTTCTTAGAGGCTTTTTGATTTTATCATCACTTTAGAATAGGAAATTTTACATGACTTCTACATCATTATAGCAATGTATATACTTATAAATATTATTAAATCAAACTGAATCATGAAAGTAAGGCAGTTTGATTTAATAATATTTGAGAAATGAATTGGCACCCTAAAATGTACTCCATGAAAACATTATTCTTCTTAGTTTAATTTATGTAGTATTTATTTAATTTATGCATATGTTTTGCCTTAATCAAACAACCTAATTTTCATTTCGAAATGATAATGAAAATTATTACATCTGATCTGGTTAACTTAAAGCAAAATTAGCAATGTCAATTTTTTTTATTGTTTGAATGTAGTCAAATAATGTGCAAATTAGATTTCAAAACATTATTAAATTATATATGAATGAAATGAGAGAGAGAAATGACAATACACACACACACATATATAAAATCCATTTATTTGGTGGAAAAAAATAAAAGAGATACTTTACCTTGATGTAACCCTAAATTTATTTTGAAAGTTTTTTTATAGTTAGTTGCACATGTGGACAATAAGATGCCACAAGAGAGTCACTGTTTAAAGCTTCTAAATTTTATTCTAATTAATGAAAAAAGAATTTTGAGGGAATACAGAGCTATCAAATCAGGATTGTATGTGCAAACTGCATTTCGAAGAGCATTTTATTGATACATTTTACAGCCATACTGTCAGAGTTGAGGAAACAAAAATTTTATGAGGCAAATCATTACATAAACCTGAAGCAATACTTATCATATTTAACGAATCTTACGCTATTCAGAACTACAATGATCAGCTTTGATCACTGAAATAGTGAAAGATCTTGATCACATTTATTGCATCAATTGTTTGACATTGTTGTACAATAATGGCAAAAATGGTTTGACACAAAATATTATTAAACAGGCCAATGTCAATGCAGATGATATATTTGCAGTTGGGGGGGGGAGTTTTCATTAAAAGGTGATATTTCTTGTATCTTGAAATTCTAGCTTAAGTA